AGTTCAATCACTATTTTCTTTCTTTCTTTCTTTCTTTTTGAGACAGAGTCTCATTATATTGCCCTTGGTAGAGTGCTGTGGCGTCACAGTTCACAGCAACTTCCAACTCTTGGACTTAAGTGATTCTCTTGCCTCAGCCTCACAAGTAGCTGGGACTACAGGTGCCCGCCACAATGCCCATTTTTTAGTTGTAGTTATCATTGTTGTTTGGCAGACCTGGGCTGGAGTTGAACCCGTCAGCACCAGAGTATGTGTCTGGCGCCCTAGCCACTGAGCTACAGGTACCAAGCCTCAATCACTCTTTTCATATGCACTGTTCACAGTGTCTTGATTAAGCTTATTCTTGACTTCTGTTGCTATCATTGACTTCCATATGATGTGGCATTGGCCCACTTTATCTCACTGAATATGGTAAGAAGGGCGTCAGTGGAGATTGAGAGTTGAGAGACTTGTCCCTAGCTGCTTTAGTGCAAGATTGTGGTGGCTGCTTGTATGTTTTCTCACAAATCTTGCAGTCTCTGGAGGAAGACAGTGAAAGGCCCAACTAATATTCTATCCTTCAAACTCTACTGTTATGTCAGAAGAGAGGTTCTCAGGATTTTTCATAAATTTAGCCCCATCTCCACTGTGTTCAGTGGAAATTCTTTGCAAGATTCAGCAAATTAGTGGGTATTATTCTTATTTGCATTGCTAATATGAGTTTCTATGTTATTTTGCTCTTTTATAAGCATTATCATGGAAACACGGATGCATTGGCTCAGCTCCCATAGAACAGTGGTTATGGCAGCAGCCACATACACCGAGGCTGGCAGGTTCAAATCCAGTCTGGGCCAGCTAAGCAACAATGGCAACTGCAACAACAACAACAACAACAACAACAACAAAAATGTCCAGGTATTGTGTGGGGCGTTTGTAGTCCCAGCTACTTGGGAGGCTGAGGCAAGAGCTGTGAGCTGTGATGCCACAGCACTCTACCAAGGGTGACATAATGAGACTTTGTCTAAAAAGAAAGAAACATGGATGCATTCAAGGTAGGCAAAGTGATGCTGCAGTAAAATTCGCCCCCCTAAATTTCAGAGGCATTATACAAGTTAAGTTTTCATTCCTGCTGTTTGTCCAATACTGGTTGTCAGGAGGAGTCTGGTTATTGCAGGCTTACGGAGATTCCACGTCAGCATAAGCTTACACTGTCACTGCAGCAGGGAAAAAAAATGTAGTAAATCACATACTGGCTTTTATAGCTTCCATGCAAGAATACACTTCAGCACTCTTTCGTTGGACAAAGAAAGTAACATGGCTTTACCAGATTTCAAAGCGAAGAGAATAGTATAATTCTACTATGTTTGCAGAAGGGGAGCAGGCTATTTGTGCACAACCCTAATCATTAGCATATCTTCCCATTTGAAAAGTCTCATTGTAGTGACTTTTTAAAATGGCATCATTGACTTTTTAATCGTTTATAATCGACTGTCACTTAGATAAGCAGTGCATGAGAAGGTAGAAAAGTGTTAATTCTTGTAGGAAAGCAATCTCTTATTAAAGGCAAGGACCACACAAGGCAGAAGTTATGTCTTTGATCCTGGAAGGGTTTTTTGGTAACATTTGGCATTCAGACAGGGATTGGAAGGGATAATCGTCCCTGCTGTTCTCTCCATGGAATAACTGTAAAGCACATGCATTCAGAACTCTCTTCCATTGCTTGAATACTTTATTATGTATAGTCACTTCTTCCTCTTCCTTCCCAATGCAAAACCATGGAGCATGAGTGTCATCACTTGAATGCCCAGTGTCCTCCTCTACTGGTTTCTAGGCATTCACTGTTTCTTTTTAACAACAGAGGAGAGGGAAGTCTTGTTGCTATAACGCGCCATTTCAAAAAGCCTCGTCTGTGAGGCTGCCAACTCTGGCATCACTTAAGTCAGGATGAGGGTAAAATGGGTAGTGAGGAAGTGGGGAGAATCCACCTAATACATACCTCATACTGATTAAAATAAATGAGTGCTCTGTATCTCTAACTGGTGTCAAAAGACATTTACCGTTTGCCTAGCCTGTTTCCCATGTCTCCTTGGCACAGACACTGCCAGGATCAATGGTCCAATTTTAGTTCCACTTTCTTCTTCTATCATTCCCCGTATTCAGCTCTTCGGAAGTGAGTTAATAATGTAAAATCTGGCTGAATTAAATTCATTTAACTGTGCTGCCAACTCCCTTCCCTTCATGCATTTTTAAAGAGATCTCAAACTGGTGATGGATTTCTAATGCTCTAGGAAAAGAAAGCAAGGATGAGACAGTAAACCTCAATGGAATGAATTGTTTATTATAATTACTACATTGAATTATCTCACTTTGTACCCAGAAGGAAGAGGAAATATTAACCTATATAGGCTTTGCAAGTGGTAATACGAAGTATGCATGGTGGAAAAAATTGTAGAAACTGCCTCTGTAGTCAGTGGAAAAAGTGACATAGTGCAGCTTCTCATGGAAAGCTGTGAACAGTAAAATACGGGGGGGGGGGGGGCTGTTTCTATAGCAACATAGATATTCTAGCTACAAGGATGAATGCTTTTTTTTTTTTACATTAAACTTACAGTTAGAAACAGATCAGCACATTGTACCCCACAGATGCATGAATGTATTCATGATCTGTGTGTATTTGACTTAATAAAATTAAAAAAAAAAAGAAACAGATTAGCAACCAGGACTCAGACTGTGCCTATAACTATGTGAGCTACCTGTAAAAATAGCCTAATTGGAACCCTGTTCCTTGCTCCTAGGGTGTCTCTGGTTCTCTCAAAAGTTTCTTTGCTTATGAAATTGGCAGATGCAGGGTACAGTCTTGAAATAATGTTTAGAAGAAGATCAAAAGGCAATGTTTCTGTCAAATGTATAATAAAAGGTGATGATTTCAGCAAGCAGAGACCTCTCCATGAGGGAATAGTCCTAGAAATTAAATACTCATATGTTCATGAACTTGGGCAAGTCTGTCAGCATTCAACTGTTAAAGTGACTCACTTTCAAAGACAGATGTTAGAAGAAGAGATTATACGTGACCCTTTTTCTTTCTTTTTTCTTTCTTGGAATGCCTTTGAATCATAGAATAGATTTTTTTTCTCGTCATGGCAAACAAGCATCACCTGGAATTTGGGCTGTGCTTTATTACCAACCTCCCATCTATAGTCTCTGTTCCCACCAAGCTGTCTTGTTTATCCTAAATATAAAGTGGCTCTAGTGGTGTAATTGGTTAATGACGCAGTCAGTTCTCCAGTGTATACTTTTATGACAAAACAGAGAGTGAAAGAATTCACATTCCAGTTCTACATGTCTATGGTTTTTTGCTCCTTAAATGGAACCAGGGACCACCCTGACACTAGATACACTCTTCATTACCACACACTTCTGCAAACTTCATCTGTGTGCTGTGCACAAAAGTTCCAATGGCTCCAAAAACGATGCTCCTGTTAATGTCAAGTTTAGTGAGATCACTCTGGAACTCTAGCCCATAGCACTGAGGAAAAGCTGGGTGGCTCATTCAGTCTGTCATCTGGCAACACTCAGAATCCAGTGGAGCTTTAAGAGCGCAAGTGCTCCTAATAAAATGGAAAATGCCTTTCCTATTAATAATGCAACATTCTGTGTCTCTTGTCTCTGGATCCTTTGGCTGATTAAAAAAAGTAGGGCGTGCCTGTGGCTCAAAGGAGTAGGGCACTGGCCCCATTTGCTGGAGGTGGTGGGTTCAAACCCAACCCTGGCTAAAAACTGCAAAATAATAATAATATAACAAAAATAAAATAAAAGCACCGTATCGTGCTTTCGCACAAATCCCAAACACCTCTGCAGACAAGCACCATATTTAGCTAGTGACAAAAGCAAGATTTGAAATTTCAGACGTGGGATTTGAGAGGAGTTTTCTATTACTCTGAATTTTCCTCAATTTTTGCTTGCTACCAACCATTCTTTTAACAGAATGGAGAGTTAAGATTCCAAAAGTGTCTCATGTAGATGCTGAATAAATTCTTGGTGATTGGCACAGATAGTTTTCCTTTCTACTCTCATAGCCAAACCCCATTGGAGCCAAATGGGTTTATGCTACATCAACACAAAGACTGATAAAATGAAGTTTGGCTCCACAAAGGCTCCTCCTGACAAGCAATTTGGAACTCTGACAGGGCCTATCACTGGGCTGACATCATTTAAACTGACTGAGTATCTATACTGTCATCCCAAGCTACCACCCAAAAGGGAAACTCTCCCAGCAACCTGTCTGCCCACGTAGACTTCTTCTAATGTGTTCCTCTCCCACAATCCTTTCTTTTTCTGCTGCCCTGCTTACACCCAACTACCCTTACGAGCATGAAACCTGTGTTTCATTGTTGAAAATCTCGATTCTATTCTCAGCCTTGCCACAGAATTTCTTACTGCCTCCTGATTCAAACTGAAAAATTGTTCTGTCTTAAGTACTTTCCCAATAGCCTTCTTGAGCATTGGTGGTTATTCTTCCGCATTCTTTGTTACAATTATCTTCTTGCAGCAAAACAATCTTAAAATGCAGAGGCTTAAAGATATTTTGTGGATCTGGAGCTTAGGAAGGGCTCAGCTGGCATTTCTTTTCATGATCCACATGGCATCAGCTGAGACAGCTGGGGCTGGAGGATCCACTTCCAAGATGGCTTCTTCACTCACACACCTGGTGCCCCAAGTACTTCTTGGCATCAGTCTTTTCTCCAATTTTGTTCTTACTTTATGGCCTCTCCACATGACTTTCTTGGGCTTCCTCACAAGCAGGGTATGTCTCAGAGTAAACTATTTTATTACAAAGTGGATGCTTTCCCCAGAGGAAATCTTCCAAGAGACTCAAGCAGAAGCTAGCGCGCTTCTTACAGCTCAGCTCAGAACATCATTTAGCCCATATTCTATCGACCAGGCAAATCGCTAAAACCCACCCAGGTTCAAGGGGAATTAGACTTCAACTCTTTATTTTATTTTTTTATTTTAATTAAAAAAAAAATACGGAACGCTTCACGAATTTGCATGTCATCCTTGCACAGGGGCCATGCTAATCTCTGTATAGTTCCAATTCCAGTATATGCGCTGCCGAAGTGAGCACTAGACTCCAACTCTTAATGGGAAAAATAACAAAGAAATTGTGGCCATAGATAATCTACCATGTCTCATATCTCAGAGATCAGAGATGGGATAGCATTCTCTCAGCTCCCCTTTTCCTCCCCTTTGTCTTATTTCCAAGTTACTCCTCCATCCCTTCTAGTTTGGGTTCTGCTTCCATCCCTTCCTTCAGGCAGCATCCTCCTTGTTATGCTACACTTTTATTCTGCATCACTGCATCCCATAGAAGTTGTCAGTCTTATCTTACTGATCATAGCTGCTTTTGTCATGTTGACCAATCCCTTTTTCTTTGGCTTCCATGGAACCAAC